CCCAAATCTCCATTGCGTTTTTGTTCAAGAACGGGGGCTATTGTGCTTGGGAAGTATAACAACTATGCCTGAGTGGGTGTTTGGTATGTGCTCTGGTGTGGTTTGCTCGTCTTGTCAGTTTGTTCCAGTTTGAGCGCTTAATCGGCGGCTTGCACTATAGGCTTCCCGGGAAGCCGAGAATGTTTCTGAGTGTTATAGGTTCTGCTGGGGTAATAATATATAGTGTAAACCACATAGGACTTGCTGTTGATGGGGAATATGCGCTATACATTAAATGCTATTTATTATTTATTATTATCACCTTTTCTACCAAACACCTATCGTCCTCATCTCCCCTACTTCTTTTCTTCGTATGTTACTCTCTAGCAAGACTTTGATTAGCGGCATTTATATGGCCTATTTCTGATGCAAGTGCCACAAAACTCTTACAATACCAAAATTTTGACATTGCTAAGTCTTACATTACCAAAACTCTTTTACATTGCTAAGTCTTACATTACTAATACTTATACTTTACTAAATTTCTTACATCATTAAAACTCTTACATTTCTAAGTCTAACATAACCAAAACTCTTACAGTACTAAGACTAAAAATGAAACCAAAATTCTGCCTGAAAATGATAGATTAGTTTTGCTTCTAGAGTGACAATATTGATTGTAGCCTTGAGCATTGTTTGGCGATGTTATCTATCATCCTGCCTCACACCAGTCTGTGGGCTGAGTGGTAGGGATTAATTCTGTGTCCATTGCTTCGTTTTCTGTGGAGGAGTGAGAGTTTGTTTGCGTTAGTGTAAGAAAAACAAAACGGCACAAAATTAGGAAAGATGAAACAAGGCAAACAAAAACAACAACGTTTTTTGTTCATTTTAAAATTATGTATTTCTTGTTCTGGTTTTGTTGTTGTTTTGTAACAGAACGAGGTTTTGTTTTTTATCTCCATGATCTATACCCCACCCCTAACTTGGTGGAATCAGAGTTGCTCAGATCATCCGTGTATGTTGTTCTTTGTCTTTCTCTGCGTTTCTTTTCCCTCTATCTTTCCACACCGAAGCAGTTTCTCTAGTCCATTTAGTTTATTTACGTGGTCAAAACATCTCAATTGTCTCTTGCTGGTGGTTTTGATTATACAAATCTTTCTCATCCTGCCATTTGGAGCACTTCTCTATTTGTGTTCATCTTTGTCCATGGCGTTCTGAGTATCCTCCCAAAAAACCACAATTGTGGGTGGTTGGCGGGTGTTCTGGTGTAGTTTGCTGCTTTTTTCCTAACAAACATATATCAAACGTTTCTCCCCTCCTTTTTGTGTGTGTGTGTGCTACTCCCTTGTAACACCTCTAATCTTCGGCACTTACATGACATTATTGTGTTGCAAGTGCCGTAAAATCTCACTAAAACTGAAAACTAGACCACAATTCAGGGGATTCAATAACTTATATTTTAATATCCCCCCATCCTCCTCTTCTAGACGTTTCGGAACAAAGTGCGCCAGTTGCGACAAGGGCATCCCTCCCACAGAGGTGGTGCGCCGTGCACAGGACAATGTGTACCACCTGGACTGCTTCGCCTGTCTCATGTGTGCTCGCCAGCTCAACACTGGCGACGAATTCTACCTGATGGAGGACAGGAAACTCGTGTGTAAGACGGATTACGAGGCGGCCAAGGCGAGGGGTGAGTTGGGTGTGCGTGTTTGTGTGAGTGTGTGTGTGTGTGGGG